TACTCGAGAGTCAGTCCACAAATGCGTAGCACTTACCTTCATACCTAGTGTGGTCTTGATATGAGCCATGAGTTTTGACAATAGTAGCGCAGCTGTTAATTTCAGTTTTGGGATTGTAAGTTTTTTGAGCGGTGCTACCTTAGTTTTTGAGCACATGAATGCAACATTCGTGCCTTTGTTGTTGTTGTGAGTGGTAATGTATAATAACTGCGGCGATTGCAAGTTGAGTCTGCGAAGCCATGTAATTCTATAACGGATGAAGTTTCTGTTTTTATCCATCAAGGTTTTGTTATTTCATTCATCTTTGTTACGTCCCATCTCATCGCGTGCCATCGGTTGATGACTTCGTTGAGCAGTGGATCGTCCCATCTGATAGTGTGTAGCCATAATTACTGGAGCAGTATTTTTGCTCTTATTACTACTATGTGGGTACTAGGTGAACCCAATGATGTTGAAAATGTAAAATGTCTTCGTGAGGCCTCCATTGCAATCCAAGGATCTTTGTAGTGTGGTCGCGGAAAGTTATTGATTGTTCTGGATTCTGGTATGCTCTGATGGCGGTGAGAACTTCCTGTCTCGTAGAGGCCATTTTGCCAATGAAAAACCACCCACCATGCAGAGGTCCCGCAGTTGTATCGCTGTTTTTACGAGTTGCTGTGGGGTGTCTGCACCACCAAAAATGTCGTCAACGTATCTCCCGTACTTCAGAGATGGTAGTGCCAGTGGATATTTATCTCCTGCATCCTTTATGAGTTGGAATATCGTTCTCACTGCTAGGAAAGGAGCAGCCTTTGTACCATAAGTAATTGTTGTTGGTTGATATATTACTTCATGGCCTTGCTCATCCATCCATAGAATTCGTTGTAAATCCCAATCATCTTGATGAACATTTATCTGTCTATACATTTTAGTGATGTCCGTGGAGAACATGTATCGGTGTCTGCGTATCCAGATGAGTACGTCTATGATGGCTGGGTTCAGATTAGCTCCCGTGTGCATTATATTGTTTAGTGAGTGTCCCGACGTTGAAGGGATTGATCCGTTGAATACCACTCTCAGTTTCATAAAGAACAAAAATAATAATATACCTTGCACGAATTCCTTCAGACGAGTTCGACTTTCACGGATATTACTGACACTTGTTTCACTTGAATAATTCAACAAGACTGTTTTCTTCTCCGTTCGTTGCTTCTTAAATACGATTGCGTATATTTAGTGTTATAATTTCTTGGGGGCTATAGTCAATTCTCTGGAAGCAAGCTTTGATGAATTCCAGTGAATTTTTGTAACATATAATTCAAATATTGCGCCTTAATCTAAATGTGATTTATCGGAATCGTATTTTAACAAACAATAAATTCTTATTTTTTGTTGGGTAGTTCAATCCTGAACACTCATTACTCTGCAATAAGAAGCTAGTAAGCCAATAGTGAAGCCACAATCATTTATAACCATTTAAGTGCGCTATAGTTAAGCAGTCAAGAGTGCTGATTGCACTACAAGAGTGAATATTAAATAAGAAGCGCACCAGCAACGCACTCATCACAGAATTAGGTAAGATAATGAATTTCTGTGAATTTAATTGAAAGAGAAACCAAATGTTGAAAGCACGTACGCGCCAGCCTCGTACGGCACTGATGCTGCGAATGCACCAGCCACGATAGGCACTATACGATGGCAAAGCTCCCGCGAATGGCTGAAGGTGTGCGAAGGGACACCAGATACATGGGCAGTTAGTTGAGTGAATCAAGAAGAGTCGTGCTAACTACTGTTTCCTCTCTCGGATCTCCTGACGAAGCGCTGCGCTTTCGGCATGCGCCTCCTGCAAGACGAGTCTTCCACTTCATACTCCGGACGAGGCATTGCGTTTTCTGTATGCAATTCTGCAAGTGCCTACTGCAAAGGATATTGCACTGTAGTTATTTGTTTCAAGGGAGCTACGACAATCCACCTATCAGAGTCCAAAGACGAATCAACGATTAGTCTTTGTAAGTAGTATCGACTACAATACTTATACATATATTGAGATTCAGAGTATTACATCGACAAGCACTAAGGACGAAGAAGCGACTCTTAAAATGACAGTGCGGAATAAATTCCAGTACGCGTCGTCAAGTTTCGCACCCGCCAAGGGCATCCCACTTCGTAATCCTCACCTTAGTTAAAATCAAAACCCAGCGCAAGTGTCGACAATCCAGTTTCGCGCCACTTTGCGATATCTTTCAATCATAAAGCTGAATTCATAACCTCAACCACACGCGTGCTCGTTCAAAAGGCGCTAGTGTCGATGAACGAAACTTCGCGCCATTCGACATTCATTATCAACAATCAAGCTGCATAGATTATTGTACAATTGTCTCCGCAACACATCACTTCAATCCAAGAATTTAGTTCTACAAGTAATAATAGTAATACTAGTCAACCGTGTCATTAATAAATAACAGAATAAATAGCATATACTTCAGCCATATCTTTATTGTATTATTATAATATCCCTTCCACTTGTGACCTGTCATCGCTATCACACAACACGCGTGGTCTCTGAGTTGTCAACGGCATCAAATTGAATCCGTCGAACCTGCCTTGATAAAACAAATCGGAACGACGAGTTGCATTTTGTACAGTATATTTATTAAAATATATTTTTATGCGTATATGAAAAATGAACAAATATGCAAGCTGATTTGGTCATTGGAATTGACGTTGAAATGTAAACAAATTTGAAAATGGTAAATTATGTTAATGAAATTGAAAGAAATCTTGTAATTGAAGTGAATATGTACTATATTTATTTGTTTCTTTATTAGATTTGTGACATAAGCAATCCCAGTTCTACTTTATATTTAAATTTACAAGATCACTAGTTTGACTGCAACAAAATTGCATTCAAGGTACTACCCTGAGTATTATAATCCATTTATTTTGTTTATATATATCCAACAAATTACCCTGAACATCAAACCCCTGAGAGTAAATTAAAATATTTTTTATCTCGTATTTTTATCTTTAAAATTAATCCAACGCTTATGGTTTATTTATCACAAGCAGCGTTGCATAACTGACTAATTAATAATACATTTTGTATAAACAGGTCACTATATTTTTATTAACTTCCTACACAGCTACCATATATATTTTGATATTATTACTGCATAAAGTCAAATGTGTTTTTATGCTGAGAATTATCAATGATTAATATTTACATTGTATAATCTCTTTATAGTTTTTCATTGTCCAAATATGTATAATTACTTAGCTATTGCTTGGTATACAATTTTTTTTTTATTTTATTAAATTACTTAACATTAAAATATTTTTCCACTTTATTGTTATCTGTTATTTTAATTATCAGAAGGAACCAAATAATATAATCTTGTATATTTAGCGTATCTATTAATTATTTTTTATTAATTAATATTTTAAAAAGTGTATTTTTATTTTGTATACATTTCCATTCAATGTTTAGGATTATCGTAAACATCTATGAATAATTTAATAGTCAATCGGTGGAATATTTTTAGTTAATATAAGATAATAAAATGAAAATAAAGATAATAAAAATGAATGCAACAATTTTAACTGCAATATATTGTTATTATAATTATATACTTTTCATAATTAATTCAAATTATATTAAAAAAACTGCCATATACAGTTTTTTAGTCTTTCTTTCCTAATTTTACCGATATAATTCGCTCAAATTTTAACACATGATTGTTATTCAATTATTTGCAAAAACTATCGCATATGATATTTATTTAAAAAATCTTATTTATAAATCAACGATTGTAAATTACTATGCGTTTTTAAATTGTTTATGAATGTCCTATTGAAAATAGATATCATCGGTTGTCTTTTTAGGTATTTTAAAAGATTCATACAAGAGTTAAATAAACTCATAATACGTTAACAATTTTTCATATATTTAATAATATAGGCTCATATTTAATCATCACAATTAGTTTTAAAGGATATTTTATATTTAATTAAATGTTTACAGATTGATACTTTTATAACTCTATTATTTTATATTACTTAATTTTAAATTTTGAAAGCTTCTAAATTAAATAATTAAAAGAATCTATAAATTCTTGTTTATTCAGTTTTCTTTTGTTTTAATATAATCCAGAGCTTGACATAATATATATATATATATATATATATGTGTGTGTGTGTGTGTG